ATGAAAATAGAGGAAGAAATTAGGGAACCTGAGTGCATTTTAGGAGGTGTTTGTCAAGTGTTTTGAGATCCATAAAGAATCTTTCTCGGGGTACCTGGGTGGTTCGGTTGGTTAAGTGTGTGACTCTTGATCTTAGGGTCATGAGTTCAAGCCCTGACTTGGGCTCCATGCTGGGTGTGGAAACTACCTTAAAAAGTCTTTCTCTACAGTGGTGGAAATTAAGTGGCCAAGGGGAGAGAAGGCTCTCCCTCTGTCCTGCTCCTCCCCCACCTGTATCACCCCATGGAAATCATCACATCACTGGCAGACATTGGGACACCAGCATAGTCATAAGTTCTTAAAGGGAGACACTCTCTTCCCAAGGACTCCTAAGAGCCTCTATCTTGTTATGTCAGGAATGCTAACAAAGTTGCAAGTGTAGGTTCCACACCCCAACTCGAACTTACAACCTGGAGATCAAGAGTCATGTGCTCTACGGACTGAGCCAGCCAGGCCCCCTGCAAATGTAATTTTTTTAAAAAGATTTTAATTTATTTATTCATGAGAGACAGAGAGAGAGAGAGGCAGACACAGGCAGAGAGAGAAGCAGGCTCCATGCAGGGAGCCCGATGTGGGACTCCATCCTGGGACCCCGGGATCACGCCCTGAGTCGAAGGCAGCCGCTCAACCACTGAGCCACCCAGGTGTCTCACAAATGTATTTTTTAATGACACATTACATAGCTCCTCCTTGGGTCACACAGAAAGAATTAGCCAATGACAGGAAGAGGCTCCCATGGAAGCCGTTGGTTCTTTCTGGGTAGGTTTCTAGGTGTGAGGGTGCCTGTCTGGAGCAACGGGGCGGATGCGGGACGTGACACCATTTCATGCAGGACTTGCTTGAGTTCTCAGGCGCTGAGGGAGGTCAGTCCTGAACACCCGATGATGGCTTTTGTGAACAACTATGACCTTGTCAAAGCTCTTGCTGTGTGTGGAGGGGCTTCTGGGGTACACTGCTCTGAAGTGTGTGTGGAAGCACAGAGGTGCCCCTTTAGGACAGACTGGCTGGGGTCAGCCCCACTTTCCCGAGTCTCTCTCCTCGGTCTCCTACCTCTGGGCTAACTGCATGGAGCTACTTAAGAGAATGAAAGTTGGTGACTGAGTCCAAAAAAGAAAGGAAAGGAAGAGGAACCTGGAACCCTGTTTTCAAACATGCACCCCTTTAATTGCGATGGCAAAGACGGTCATTGCAGTCTCAGTAAGGGACCTGGGACATGGCACAGTGGAGTCTGGGTTGTGTAGCAGGGTTACAGCCCTGCCACCATTTCCCTGTCTCCATAGCGGTTTGAAGAGATGTGAGCTGGGCAGATATTTCAGAATTCGGCTTTCCCTAAAGGGCCCCAAAGAATGTAAGCTATCACCCTTTACCATTCTTTTACTTTTTTACTTTACTTTTTTAAAGATTTTATTTATTTTTATTTTTAAGAGATTGTATTTATTTATTTATTTATTTATTTATTTATTTATTTATTTGACAGGGAAAGAGAGAGCATAAACTGGGGGAGTGGCAGGCAGAGGGATAGGGAGAAGCAAGCTCCCTGAGGAGCAGGAGCCTGATGCAGGGCTCGATCTCAGAGCCCTAGGATCATGACCTGAGCTGAAGGTAGATGCTTAACTGACTGAGCCACCAAGACACCCCCCTTTTTTTTTTTTTAGTATTTTACTTATTTATTTATTCATGAGAGATACAGAGAGGCAGAGACACAGGCAGAGGGAGAAGCAGGCTCCCCATAAGGACCCTGGTGTGGGACTCGATCCCAGGTCCCCGGGATCATGACCTGAGCCAAAGGCAGATGCTCTTTCACTGAGCCACCCAGGCACCTCACCCTCTACCATTCTTGATTCTTGTCCTCGCTTTACTTTTCCTTACAGTGTTCACTGGACCTAACACATCATGTGTTTCCTTGTTCACGGCCCTATCTCCAGCCCTTAGAGTAGTAACTGGCACATACGAGGCCCCCAGTACACATTTGATTAATGACTTTAATGAATAAATACATAAGTGACTGAAGAAGTAGGGCAGAGCAGATGTCTGACCAGCTCCTCAGGCCCTCTGGAGGCGTCTTCCCCTCCCTGACCCTCTACCACAAAAGGATACAGACCCTGGATTCCCTCATGCTCAGCTGTGTTTGCTGTGTTTGACATGATGTTCCCACTCCTAGGAAGGGGAGATGCTTTCATTATCTGAGATAATCTGTAGTTATGACAAAAGGCAGCATGAGGGGTTCCCTCTCCAGTCTTTTCTATATTTACTAGATATTTCTTCCTACACAAAGGAGAGCCTTCCCTGGGTGAGCCCCACTGTAAAACTCACCTGTAACCCACAAACAGGGCTTTCAATGTGTCCCAGTCATTAAAGCCAAAGCCTCAGTGCCCACCCTCCAGCCCAGCTGGGCTGAGGCCAGAAGTTTCCATGCTGCCCATGCTGACGAAACCAGTTGCCCATCTTCACTTTTCTCCTCCCAGCTCCTCACAAGGAAAGAAAAGAATGTCAGCCAGGGCAGAGATCTGGCCCTTGGGTTCTGTGACCACACATAGGGTGGTTCCCATGTGTCTGTCCCCGCCAGGGATCGTCCTGGGGGAGGGGGGGGATGGCGATCAATTCCAGGGACTTGAGAATTGAGAAGGCAGAAAAAGAAGTCACCACATGCGCTTTGGCCTTTTTGTTTGTTTGTTTGTTTTTACATATATATTTTCCTAATGAGCTGAAAGTTTGGTGGAAATCAGGGCTTGGTGGGAACAGCTGGGCAGTGAGCCCCTCTGTTGGTGTTCGGTGTTCGGGAGGCACTGAGGGGCGGGATCAGCAGCTCCTGGCCTTAGCCGGCCTGGCACTGGGGAGTCAAAGCCACAGTGACTGTGAGTGGGCAGCGACTCCCATCCTTGGCTCAGAAACGGTGCCCCCCGGTGCCGCGGCCTCGGTGGAACCTAGGAGTTGCCGAAGCAGAGATTTCACAGGAGCTTGATGAAAAGGTGTGACAGATGTGAGAGACACTGGCATAAGGGGAACATCTCTGGGGATCAGAGGTGGCACCCGTTGAGCCTTGGGCAGTGGGAATGTGTGAAGACGTAGGTGGGGCGGGCAGGAGTAGGGGGTCTGCCGGAGGCCCGGCCGCGGGAGGGAGGAGGGCCGCAGGGCTCCGGGAGGGGCCTGCTCCGACTCCTCGGCCCCTAGGAGGACTGGGAGGTGGAGTTGAGGATGTTTGCATTAGGAAACCCTTTGAAGCTCTTCTCTTGGCCTCCCTACTCTGGACCTGGTTACCTCCCCTCATAAAGCCATTAGCTTCTGGTGCCAGCCCTATCTCTGCTCCATCTCTCTTGGTTCCAGTCGGTGCATTCACAGACCTCCTGCCCCGAGGGACAGGGAGGATTTATGGGGGGGGGGGGCGGAGGGCAAAGGGGGAGGGGGCGTCCTTTAGAGGAGGAGAGGTCGGTTGGGAAAGTAGGGTGTGGGGAGCTGTTAGTCGGGCCGGGCCAGAGGCCGGATCATTTCCGAGCTGGCTCTGCATGACAAAGGGGAAGGAGCAAGTTTCCTCTTTGATCTGCCCCCTGCCGGCCCCACACACCTGCCTGTTGGTACTCCTGTCCCAGCTGAAACCTCAAGAAGAAAAACCAAAGGGGGGTGGAGACCGGGCTGTGGCCCAGCTTCCCCGGGTCCTGTTCAGGCCACCTTCCTCGCTTGGTGGCTCCAGGACAAAAGTGTCTCCTAGGCTGATGACCCACAGCACCTGCCGCCCCCTCCCGGAGAGCCTGGAGACCCAGGGCTGCGGGAGCCGCGTGGTGAGATGGGGGGGGGGGGCGGCCGCTGGGTGCGCCTGCGCCAGTGTGTGTGTGTGTGTGTGTGTGTGTGTGTGTGTACAGTTGGAGGTGTTAAGGGGTCCCGGGGAGAAGACTCACTGGAAATGTGGGGTCACACCCTGGATGGAAGCTGAGGGGGAGACGAGGTGGGGGTGAGTGGGAGGGGGCGTGTTTTAATAGACTTGCTCTAAGATCCAGAAGCAAGGATTTTACATTTGTTTCCAAGGGCTGGAGGAAAGGTGCTCTCTCCTGGGATACAGGCACAGGCATGAGTTATAAAAGAGCAGAGGCAAAGATGCGGGAAGGTCCTGACCCAGGAGGGAAGGGTCCTTGCTTTTAGAAGATGCGTCCTCGGCCCAGACTTCTGAGATCAGGGCCGCAAAACCCAGAGCTGGTGGTGCCCTACTGTCACCAGCGGTGCTCTTGGCTGCCCCTCGAGGACCACAGTGTAGATGAGGGGAGGAAGGCCACCTAGGAAGATGCCATGTCCCCCCACCCCCATCCCAGGCAGCTTTAGGGACACATGGTATTGCTCAGAGGAGTTGCCTTGAGAAAGTGCAGTCCTCGCCCTTCTGTCTGCTGTATTCCTGGGAAACAAGGGCTGGAACACGGAAACTTTCTTGGCGTGAGAAGGGTACGGATCGGGAAGGGAGACTCCTACTTGGCTGCAGGTAAATCTCACTCACCAGCTGTTCGTAGCCCATGAAGGAGAGCCTCTGGCTGGAGGGAGATGAACAGGAAGGAGTGGATGGTGCCCTGGTTTCTTCGGATGCTCTGGAGGAAGGGCAGGTGGACGCTGCAGCAACCAAAGCATCTTCCTTCATGCTATATGGAACAGGCTCTGGGCTTGAAAGGACTCATTTTCATTCCTCTCTTCTAGTTTCCAAGCTTATTGTTTCCTTTGGAATGAGGTCCTGAGTAGGGTTCCCACTCGTGGGGGTAGGAGACGCAAAGTCTCCCCTGGTGAGAAGAGCAGCACTAGGAGATGGAGGATGGAAAGAGACTGGATCTCTTTGCCGGCCGAGCAGAACTTGACTAGACCCCCATCCCCGCCCCCGCCCCCCACCCTGGAGCTTATCCTTGGTGCTCCCACCCCGCCCTCTCCTCTGGTCCTGCCTCATCAGCTTCATCTCCATGTTGGTTCTCTGTCCATTCTCTCTTCTCCAGGGAGCCCCGCTTCAGAAGCCGACTGCCCCTGGGGTCTTCCCAGGGCACTGGGGAGGGCCGAGGCTGAGGCCCACCATGCCCAGCCGGCTGCTGCTCGCCGCTGCACTGCTGTCCAGCTGGGCTCAGCTTCCGGCCGAAGCCAGCTCCTGGTGGTGAGTGAGGGGGGCTGAGGCCCTTCTCTACAACCTACGCCTCCTTTGGTAATTGAATGCAGAGAAAGGTCACCGTGTGTTGTGATCATCCCTTTATTCGTAGGAATCCTAAGAATCGCTTTTATCCCAGGAAAACTAGGACAGCCTTGTCTCTCACAAGCCCCCAGAGGTAGAGGTTCACTGAGGATAAAGGAGGAGGAGTTCGTTTGGTATTTTCCTCTGATCCTGTCTGCTTTCCCCTTTTCCTGGACCTTCCTCCATCCCCATGTGTTGTTAGAAATAGCTCTTGCGTTGCTATTGGATCAATAAGAATATTGATTTTTTCCCCCAATGTGGGCAAGGAGAGTAGAATTCCTGTTTTATAAGTCTGATGACCAGATGAGAAGTTGAGAGATCCACAGGACCGTGTGGGGCCTTCTGCTGTGTTCTTAAGACTATTGTCATTGCCAAGTCAACGTGCAAATGGCAGGCACTCCTCATCTATTTTTGCAAGGTCTGTGCCCCGCTCACGTTTGCACTCAGATGATATATCTATACAGTCTTCTCATCTAACTGCACACTTTACTGTATCTGGTTGAGGATGAGCCAAGGGAAAGCCGCTAAACAGAGAAGGGGTGGGTCAGGGGATTTAGACAGTGTTGTGATGTATGTAAATTGGCTTCTGTTTGCCAGGCATAGGGGCAGGTCTCATTAAAGGAATTTATTGCTTTCCATCATACATCCTGCACTGGGGCTCAAGTGAATGAATCACGCCTACTCCTTGAATAAGTCATGTGCTCTCCTCTTTCCTGTTGAGATTTGGCTGTTTCCGTCCCCTGCCTGGAATGAATGTCCTATGCCCTCCCTATCGCCCTTCCCTGCCTGCCCCCACCCACACCCCCGGCCTTTGAGACCCAGTTCGTACTCTGGCCATTGCCTTATAAAATCTTCTCTCCAGCTGCAAGAGCTCTGTCTGATCATTTGACATCTTCCATGTCATCTGCATTTGTGCCTCAGTTTCCCACACAACGCCCTTTGAAGGCAAGGCCTCTGTTTTACTAAGTTTCCTTTTCATGCCCTTAGTACAGGGCCTTGCGCACAGAAAGAAAGCACTGGGTAAAAGTGTTGAATGAATGACTTAGTGCTGCACACAGCCTGTGCTCACTCCTTGGTCTTTTGTCCCCTTTCTGGATCTCTGCTGTAGGTCATTAGCTATGAGCCCTGTACAGAGACCCGAGATGTTTATCATCGGTGCCCAGCCCGTGTGCAGCCAGCTTCCTGGGCTCTCCCCTGGCCAGAGGAAGCTGTGCCAGTTGTACCAGGAGCACATGGCCTACATCGGGGAGGGAGCCAAGACGGGCATCAAGGAGTGCCAGTACCAGTTCCGTCAGAGGCGGTGGAACTGCAGCACCGTGGACAACACGTCTGTCTTTGGGAGAGTCATGCAGATAGGTAAGAGGCCACCAACACATAGCTTGGCTAGAGGACCCAGGTTCACCTGCCTGGGTGCAAGAACGCTCTCCTGGGCCTGGCACAGAGGGCCCTCGTGAGCATTTAGGGGAGTTCTCCAAGGCTTGGAAGCGGTGTGCAAGGAGACAGGAAGACGAGTCTTAGATCATGTGTTGACCACCCAGCTCACGCTCCACCAGCTCTCTGCTCCCAGCTTCACCCTGTTGGGGGCAATCCGCGTGTGGCTCACTCTGGGAAAGAGGCAGAACAGTGGAGCTGAGTTAAAGTGGATTAGCAAACATGCTCGCCGCCACTGCCCCTTATCTCAGCCCAGGGGACCCTTTGACGGTGCTGTGTGGAGAACCAAAATTTGCAGCCCTGAATGTCTGTATGACGTTTGCCTCTTCCACTTGGACTCTGAGAGAGATAGAAACTTTGGGCCAAATTGGTGATAGCTGTCATAACCTGGCCCTAGGTCCAGTCCTGGCTCTTTCATTCCAAAGGGATGTGTGTGAAAGTGGGGGAAGGGGACAGACCCAGAAGAAAGATGAGAGGCCAGATCTTCCAGGATTCCTGTCCCTTCCCCTCACCCCACTCCCTTGGGACTCTCTGGCTGCCCTATTGCTTAAATGGAGGTGTGATCTGGGGTCTAATTGTTTTAGGTCCTTTTGAAATGCAATCCTCCCCTCCCTGGCAAGAAATTGAGAAATCCGGCCCTATTCTACGGGGGTCTGATCCCCAGGGCCATAGAAGGAAGGTGTTAGAGCCCTGTATTCTCCTGTGGCCCATTCTCCAAGAGTTTGCCTGCCAAGGATGGCTTTGGGGAGTTCACTGAGGCTGAAGAATGACTTTAGCAGGAAGCAGGGTATGCGGAAGGCCCCTCCCTCCTGAGCTCTTTCCCCTGCCCATATTGATAAGTGAGGACCAGGGGAAAGCACACTTTGAACCGCTGCTCTCTTTCTTCCTTCACTATTAACTCAAGGTCCAGACAAGGAGTGCTTGCATGTTCCTGCAACAGTCTTCCGGGGCAGCTTTCCTAAGAGATTGGACTTGGGGTGAAGTGGGAATTGCTCATAGTTTATTGATTCTTCTCAAGTACACTTAGCATCTGGTAAAGTCTCAGCAGCACTGCCTGTGCTGGGTTCCGGGTGTGGGGAGGAGGATGACCCCAGGTGGAGAGAGAGGCATCCACTGATCACTTTTGGGGAACTTATGTGTCTCTGGGACCTAATGTGTGCCTGATATTGGCTAGATCCTTTTCGTGTGTAATTTTGTTTGAGTGAGGGCCAAAAAGTGAGCTTTACTTTAGGAAAGGAAGGAGTTACCAGAAATGGCAACTCCACTGGGTGCAGACTTGCTTGGGGGAATGAAAACAGACCCTCCTGTTCTCTCGGTACCCTATTCCGTTACAGATGGAACCCTCTGCTTGCCTTCTTTTCAGTTTCCTTTTGTAGCTCTCCTGCAGGCTTATGCTACCTGGGAAGGTACCCTCCACTCAAGCCCTTTGGGCGGGGAGCGGCTCCCCTGAGGCCTCTCCCTCTCCCGCAGCTGTTGTGTGTACCTAGGACTTCCAAGAAAGTCCTGCCCTCTTTGAAGCACTGCAAGAGTCTACCACCAGAGGGCAACAGAGCAGCTTGGCGGGAGCCGCTGGCACTTCACCCAGCCTTGGGCAGGGGAGCGTAGGGGCGCCTTCCTGGGAGCTGGCTGGATCTACTGTGGAACAGAGAGAGAGGGTGTGGTACGATCCTACTGCCTCCTCGTAGAAGGACGATGCCAGGTATCTCTAGGAGTCCCATGGCTGCTGGTTTATTAGCCTTTATCCTTGAAATGGTTTAAGTTGCCTCTGAGTTGTTTCACTTATAGAGAAGCCCCCACCTTGCCTGTCCATTCTGAAGCCTTGCATTATGTCTTGCTGGCTGAGAGTAGCCCTAGTAGTATGTACCTCCCAGGACCCAGTTGCTCCTCATGAATGAGGAACTACCCGCCCTCGGTGCCTAATGATGCCACAATCAAAAGAGGCAGAGCAGGGACGCCTCGGTGGCTCATTGAGCACCTGTCTTTGGCCCAGGCATGATCCCAGGGGTCCTGGGATCGAGTCCCACGTTGGGATCCCTGCAGGGAGCCTGCTTCTCCCTCTGCCTGTGTCTCTGCCTCTCTCTTGTCTCTCATGAATAAATAAATAAAATCCTTAGGAGAAAAAAAAAAAAAGAAGCAGAGCAGTTGCAAGGATAGCTAATGCACTCGAGGACAGACTGGGATCTGAACCCTTCGTGACAGACCAGGGCCGTCAGAGCACATAGTATCTGCTGTATTATGCTCAGATGCAGGCACATTATTCTTAAAGGCAATTCTGAGAGGAGTGATTCAGTTCAGAAAAGCACGTTTGCTAAAGAACTGAGGAAGAAATCAGACATGTAGCCTGGAAAAGACAAAACATAAAAGGCATATCAGTTGTTTTCAAATGTGGAAGGGCTGTCAAATGGGAAGGGATCAGATAGTGTAGCTCCAGCGGATGGAAGTTACAGGGAGATATTTTTCAACTTACTATAAGGAAGAACGTTCTGGTGATTAAAGTCATTAAAAGATGATGGGCTGGGTTGCCTTGAAAACCCAGCCTGCTTCTCTGAGGAATGCTGTGAAAAGGAAGAGTCACAGTGGGTGAGATGTAGATGGGGCTGCTGATCAGGGCTCCTTCCTCTCAGGGATACCAGGGCAGGGACTTGAGACTCCATTTCAGGAAGACTTCTCAGCCATGGCTCCCTCAAGGAGAGAGTTAGGCCCTCCTGCCTAAGAACCTGTTGGTCACCCTAGCATCCCAGTGGCTCATTCTCATAGTCTGACCACCCTCAACTAGATAGATCCCTGGTCTCTGGCAGCGATTCAGCACTGACTCAAATGTCCATCCTGATGGCAGAAGCTGACCATCAGGTTACCTCTTGAGAAAGACAGGACTTGCCCAGTCTTGTCTGGTTGCAAGCTTGACTGTGTCTTGCCTAGATAATCAAGAAGTAGGGCAAAGTGGGAGGTCATTCTAGACGTATTGAGGGTTGCAGACTCCTTCCGTCTCCACCTGCCAAGGCAGGATTATGGGATGTCTACTTCTGACCACAAGACTCAGGAGAGGACGGAGTAGAGAACAGAAGATTCTGCCTAATGTAATCACTGAGATCAAGATAGAATCTCAGCTTCCTGCTAAGAACCTCTCCCTGCTCCTCTACACCTGAGTTTTTTAAATATTATGTATTATTTCTTATAACAGCTGTAGTGAAATAGAATTCGCGTGCCATACAATTCACCATTTTCAAGTGAATAGTTCCGTATATGAATTCACAGGATTGTGCAACCAGCACCACGGTCTAATTGCAGAACGTTTTTGTGACCCTATGAAAAAAATCCTGCAGACCCATTGGTAATCATCCTCCATTCCCTCCCGCTTCTGAAACCCTAGGCAACCAATACTCTTTCTGTCTCTATGAATTTTCTTATTATGGACATTTCATATTAATGAGATCACACAACATGTGGCCTTTTGTATCTAGTTCAGTACAGATACAAAATGCTAGGGACACCTGTCTGGCTCAACTGGTAGAGCGTGTGCTCTTGATCTCGGGGCTATGGGTTCCCGCCCCACATTGGGTACAGAGATTACTTAAAAATAAAACCTTAAAAAAATGCTACATGATTCACTTAGTATAATAATTCAAGTTTCATCCACATTGCATCATGTACCAGTACTGTATTACTTTGTATGGCTGAATAATATTCCACTGTGAGGATAATGCCACCTTTTGTTTGCCCATTCATCCACTGATGGACAATATGAGCTGTTGCCACTTCCTGCTATTATGAATCATACTTCAGTCAACATTCATGTCTAAGTTTTTGTGTGAGCATGTTTTTATTCATCTTGGATATATCTTAAGAATGGAATCACTACGTCATATGTTAATTACATATGTAACCTTTTGAGGAGTTGCCAGAATTTTTCAAAGCTTAAGATTCCCACAAATGGTACATGAGGGTTCCAGTCTTTTCATATCTTCGCCAACTTACTAGTTGCCTTTTATTTTAAGATTTTATTTATTTTGGGATCCCTGGGTGGCGCAGCGGTTTGGCGCCTGCCTTTGGCCCAGGGCGCGATCCTGGAGACCCGGGATCGAATCCCACGTCGGGCTCCCGGTGCATGGAGCCTGCTTCTCCCTCTGCCTGTGTCTCTGCCTCTCTCTCTCTCTGTGTGTGTGACTATCATAAATAAATAAATTTAAAAAAAAAGATTTTATTTATTTTAAAGATTTTACTTATTTGAGAGAGAGAATGAGAGGGGGTGTGGGCACAGGCAGGGGGTAGGGACAGAGAGAGAGGGAGAAGCAGTCTCCCCACCAAGCAGGGAGCCCAACATGGGGCTCCATCCCAGGACCCTGAGATTATGACCTGAGCCAAAGGCAGAAGCTTAACTGACCGAACCACCCAGATGCCCCTATTTTGTTTTATTTTTAAGATTTAAGATTTTTTTTTTTAAGCAGTCGCTATACCCATCATGGAGCTTGAATTTACAACCCTGAGATCAGAGGAGTTGCATGCTCTGCCAACTGATCCAGCCAGGCGCCCTATTCATTGCCTTTTTGATTCTAGCTGTCCTCCTGAGTGTAGTGGTGTCTTATGGTGATTTTGATTTGCATTTCCCTGGTGACTGAGTATTATTTTTTAGAAACATTTTTATTTTTTTTAATTTTTAAAAATATTTTATTTATTTATTCATGGGAGAGAGAGAGAGAGAGGCAGATTCACAGGCAGAGGGAGAAGCAGACTCCATGCAGGGAGCCCGATGTGGGACTCAATCCTGGGTCTCCAGGATCATGCCCTGAGTCAAAGGCAGGCACCAAACCACTGAGCCACTCAGGGATCCCAGAAACATTTTTATTGAAGTGCAACATGGATCATATGAGTTTTTAAGTGGTTCACTACAGGAATAGAGAGGAACACGTTTCACATTTTCTCCTGGAAATGATCTGGACATTTGGAGAGACTATGCTGAGTGTCCTGCAGACCTGGTTCACCTGAGCTCTAAGCTGGGAGGCAGTGTGGACCCCATGGAAGACAGGGAAACAGTGTGGATTATTCTGGACTTTGTAATTCTGCCTCACTTTCCTCCTGGTCTTTTCTACTATCTAGCTAGATAATGGCAACAATAAAAAAGACAGATGTGTGGCCCACGGAGTGGTCAGAAATTGGCATCTGCGAGAGGGAGGTTTTTGCAAGGCTACAGAGCCCTACTATGGGTCCTGCGATTTCTGCCCTAGCTCATTGTGTTGGTCCCACAGGTCCCGTAACTCCTTAATGCCCAGTCTCCCCTCTGTTCAGGTCGGCCTCCTCCTCCTAAGAATCCACCCACCACATAGGCTTCCCTGGATACTCGTGTGGGCGAGGCTGGAGGGATTCGCTCTGCTCTGTGTGCAAGGGGTAGAGGAGGCACCTTTCTGCTCATTATCAAGAGAGGTCTCTAGGTCTCTAACCGTTAGAGCCACGGGAAGTGCCCTGGGAAGTGCCCTGGGAAGTGACGAGGCTTCGAGGCTTCTGATGATGTCTCCCTCCGGGGCGGGCGGGCGTGTTGGAGCCGGGCAGGTGCTGGCCCGGGAGAGGGGAGAGGCCGGAGGAAGAAGGGGGCGTCCTGGGGAGCTGGCCGCCCTCAGGCCCCCCCGCCTCGCCTGCCTTGCCTTGCAGGGAGCCGGGAGACCGCCTTCACCTACGCGGTGAGCGCCGCGGGCGTGGTGAACGCCATCAGCCGGGCCTGCCGCGAGGGCGAGCTGTCCACCTGCGGCTGCAGCCGCGCCGCGCGGCCCAAGGACCTTCCCCGGGACTGGCTGTGGGGCGGCTGCGGGGACAACGTGGAGTACGGCTACCGCTTTGCTAAAGAGTTCGTGGACGCCCGGGAGCGGGAGAAGAACTTCGCCAAGGGGTCGGAGGAGCAGGGCCGAGTGCTCATGAACCTGCAGAACAACGAGGCGGGGCGGAGGGTAAGCTGGGGCTCCCCCACCTCCGTGCAGGGGAGGGGGCGCCCGGACCGCGCTGGCTCTCACCTCCCTCCAGGGCTGACCCGGATGCCCGCATTGCCCACCTGACCTGTTTCTCGAGGCTCCATTCCCCGACAAGGTACGCTCAAGTGTCGTGTTGGCAGACCTTGCTTATTTCCCCACGGGACAGCTGTCCCTAGAAGACATCAGGTTCCGTGGCTCCAGGATTCCAGGCGCTCCACGTAGAGTTCTTGTCTCGGCCTTTGTAACCAGAGCAGACAAGGCGGCTGGAAGTTAAGGCCGTTGGACCTAGCCTAGGGTTTACGATTTGCAGAAGCAGAGCTGACTTTCAAGAGCGGCTGTCATGCTCATCCAAAAGCCCAATCCAAAAGCACGTGTAGATGCTAACGGCAAACACACTTTTTTTTAATTTTTAAGATTTTATTTATTCATGAGAGGCACAGAGAGAAGGCAGCGACGCAGGCAGAGGGAGGAGCAGGCCCCCTGCGGGGAGCCTGATGTGGGACTCGATCCCAGGACCCCGGGATCACGCCCTGAGCCAAAGGCAGACGCTCAGCCGCTAGGCCACCCAGGTGCCCCACGGCAAACAAACTTCTAAACGCAGAGTGCCCTGCAGGAGGGGAGTGGAAAAGATAACCATCTCCTGAAGGTTGTCTGTATGACCAATCTCAAGTGAGACGTGACTGTTTTTCAGCCTCAATTTCAGTAGAAACTAAAGTGTGGGTTTTGAGGTGAACATGGTTTACTGCCTGTGCAGAGCATACCTGGGCCATACTCTAGGTTTCCTTGATGGTATGCCGGAGAGCGTGTGCCTTCTCTGCCTGCACCCGGCTCGTGAAGACCTCCCCTGAGTGCACACTCTGTCTCCATTTCCCTTTGATGCACCTGAGGTGGTCTGCCTCTGCTGCAGGATGGGGGGGGGGGGGGCTTGCTCAGTCAGACACTCTGCCTTCTGCTGGCTCGGCGTTTTCCCATGTGGAGGGGAGCATGAATGTGCATCAAGGTGTCTCTCTCTCTCTCTCTTTTTAAAAGATTTTATTTATTTATTTTTTCATGAGAGACACAGAGAAAGGCAGAGACACAGGCAGAGGGAGAAGCAGACTCCATGCAGGGAGCCCGACGTGGGACTCAATCCCGGGTCTCCAGGATCACACCCTGGGCTGAAGGCAGCGCTAAACCACTGAGCCACCTGGGCTGCCCTCTCTCTCCCTTTTTTTAAAGATTTTATTAATTTATTTGAGAGTGCGACCAAGCAAGAGAGCACAAGCAGGGGGAGGGGCAGAGGGAAAGGGAGAAGCAGACTCCCCGCTGAGCAGGGAGCCCAGTGTAGGACTCCATCCCGCGACCCTGAGATCATGACCTAAGCCATAGGCAGACACTTTACCAACTGAGCCACCCAGGCGCCCCTCCAGGTCTCCCTTATAGAAGATGTTAGGTCTGAGTACTGGGTGGTAGGGGGTTGCTCCCGCACAGGGCTAGGGGACCACAGACCTCTCAGGAAACTACTCAGACTTCTTTCTAGGAGTGTTGTCCACATTCAAGTCTGTGTCAAGCCAGCTGGCTCAGGGGCCCAGGCAAGATACTATAATGAGACCAAAGATGAAATAATTAAACAGTGAGACTAGCAGTTTCTTGACAAGAAATCAATCCAGAAATTTAATGTGGGTTCATTGGTGATTCAGTAACAAGATATGGATATAATTCTAGAAAAATGCTTACTAATTTAAAAAATGTTTCACAGGCACACATATCAAATAAAAGTAATTGAAATGTCTTATACAAATTGGGATCTGTGATGTTGGCTTGGCGGATGCTTGTGTAAACTTAGTGTCCTCAATAGCGTGATGTCAAGTCGAAATTAGAATTGGTCATTTGCCCAGTGTCTTCCTTTCAGAGCCCATGTCCAGAAGCTTGATCTGGGTGTGAGCAGTGGTGTTAATCTGTGGCAGGGTTAGGAGTTGAGGTTGTTGCTCTGGTACAAACCAGGGCACGGAGAGCAGCCGTGGCTTAGATGACCTTCCACTCTAAGGGCATCTGTGAGGCCACCTCTGTTCCCCAGGACTTCTCTGTGTGTGGCAGTCTGCTTGCCAGTCTTTGGGTATCTAACCCAGGAGAGACTGATTAAAAAAAAAAAAAAGTTTAAGATATTCACTTTATGTCCCAAACGTCCAAATTCTATTCATTTTTTTTAAGATTCCAGTTCAGATACCACCTACTTCTTACAACCTTTCCCATGCCCTATAACTAGTAGTCTCTCTGCGTCTGAACTACAATAGGGCCTTGGCTACCTTTTGGGCTCTGGCTTAGTTCCCCTCCTCCCCCGGCCCGTATTCTGGGATCTACCCACAGCTCTTGTAACAACTCTCTGTGCTTTGCATGGGGAGGCCGGTGCGAGTGGAACATGCAGAGCAAAGTTCCCGCTCTGCCACCAAGAAGAGGTCAAATTCATGGAAGGTCGTTTCCTGTGTCCGCTCTGTGCTGTCCTGGGGGCGTTGGTGGCAGATGCCGAGGTGACTAGGCTTTCATCCTGATCTGGGCTCCGTCTCAGTCACAGTCTTGACCTCACTTCTCCTGGCTCCTCGTTTTATTGCCCTTAATTGTTTGTTTGTTTGTCCTGACCCTTATCTGGCCCACCTTCCTTCCATCTGCCTTGTTTCTCACTCACACACCTTCCCTGCCTTCCTCAGTCCCTCGCCTCTCCCCCCAGCCTCCGCACCTCTTCCACAGCCTTTATCTGTCTGCTCCAAGTGGGGGATTCCTGTCCCTCTCTAATGTTTATCCCCTCTCCAAGGAACAGGCCTCCACCATCAATCACCATCTGAGGCCAAAGGTATGCACCTCCCACCGCCTCACACCTACACAAAAAATTCCTTAGGGAAGACTAAAACAGTGGCAGGGATTGCAGATTCCCTGGGTTGATATTTTACAGCCAGTTAGAGATTTTATTTTCAAGTTATCTCTACACCCAACATGAGGCTCAAACTCACAACCCTGAGACCAGGAGTCACACACTCCAACGACTGAGCCAGCAGGGCGCCCCAACTAATTTTTTTTTTTTTTTAATAGGCTACCTAGGATCTGACATCTTGGCCACAGAGTAAATCTGAGGCATACTTTGCAGGAAACTTCTCTTGGCCTTTGAGAGTCTCTAGTAACCCCATTTTAGACACTGATGGCCAGAGAGAGCAGGGGGTGGATATTGCCTTGTCTGTCACTCAAGGGCTCAAGCATTTTCCAGATAAAAGCTGTCTAATCCTCGTGACATTCCTATCAGTTACTGAGCTCAGTCACACCATTAGACAGTGCAGAAGAGGGACTTAGGGCTTTGTCAGGAGGCAGGATCCAGAACTAAGAAAATGTTTTAAAAATTAGCTTTTAGGGGCGCCCCTGTGGCTCAGCTGGTTGGGCATCTGCCTTTGGCTTGGGTCATGATCTTGGGGTCCTGGGATCAAGTCCTGCATTGGGCTCTCCACTCAGCAGGGAGTTGGCTTCTCCCTGTCACTCTCCTTCTTTTGTTCTCTCTCTCTCAAATAAATAAATAAAATCTTTAAAAAGATTTTTAAAATCAGCTTTTATTGCTTTTTCAATTAGCAGGAAAGGCTAAAGATTTGGATTTCTTTTCTGCCTTCTCCTGTAAGAGGAGCTTATATATATTATCAATAATAAAATATTTAAAAATACAAGTATTACAATGTCTTTCTTCACAAAGGAGGACCGGAATGAATGTCTACAGAGTGAAGATCAGTGACACTCTTCCTCTTGGATTTGTTTTACTAATGCTTCTGTTCTTACTCTGTGGAGTCTTCTTCATCTGTCTTTCCTCTAATCTCCCTAAGTGTTGGCTCCCAGGAGAGATGCTTATCCTGTCCCATTGGTCACTTAGTGGCAGGAGGTTTAGGCCCTAAATGTTTCCTCTTCCAGTGGTACCGGATGCCTGACCTCCCTGGCTACACCAAGTACCTTTTCCAGAGGAATGTGAGGCCCCAGCTCAGACTGGGGCGGGGGGGTTGTGCCAGAAGAGGGTAATTGCAGACTCCGTCTTTGAAGTGCCTGTTGGGATGGGGTGTTGGTTCCTTTATGCCCTGGGCCTGGAGCTGGTACCTTTAACCTTGGGGAGGAGCCTCCTTCCTTCTCAACTGTAAGCCGTTTTTAAGCCCCCTGATTGGAGTGCAAAAGCGTTCATCATTCTTGACTCCCTTCTGGGTGGCCCCCAACAAATTATTGGGCCTCTCCAGAACTTCAGTTTCTCCACCACAAAATAATAGGAATAATTCCACACCAGAAAAAAAAATCAGGAAGAGTTTTGACAATTGTAATATGAGCTGATGATGATGAAGCTATTTCTTGCACCTGCAGTGGTCTCAGTGCAGTGCTGAATAAAGACACAATCTGGGAACTCTTGAAAAGAAATCTGTGAGAAACCTTGAAAAATGAGTCCCGACCCAGTTAGTGACAATGGCTGTGGCATAAGAAAGTGTTCTGCAGCAGGCTTGCATTTTTATCCTGCCATCTGTATGCCTGGGCCCGCTGCCAAGGCCATTTGACACAATGCATCAGGATGCTTTCATCGAAAAGCGTTTTGGAAAGCAGCATTCTGATCTACTTTTGCTTTTAAAATTTTGATTTGGGATAGCCCAAGTTCAAATCCACTCCACATTGTCGTGGTTCAGTGGCTTCAGGTGGATTTGTTTTTGGAAAAATCACCCCTATTGGTGCCCTCTCCCCACACCTGCTCTTGCTTGACACAGGGCTCCACCCTCTTCCTCTGTACTCAGCCTCTGGGTGTCTGGGAGGGTGTCTGCGGGTTCTGGGGTGGAAGATAATGGTCTTGCTCTTGAAAGTGGTGTGGTTTGTGGCAAGGCCCCTGTGACTCCGTGGAGTTAATCACCAAATATTAACACAGAAAAAGGGACTGTTTAGTTCTTAGGCAATTTGGCAGAGTCAGGGAGAGCTTTTGGCAAACTGGGGGCCATGCCAGCAGGCTCTGTTGCAGGCTGGTAATATGACTGGATTTTTTTCACCCGACTATACTCCATATCATGCAAAAACTGCACACAGTTTGTTGGTTGGTATTTGTTTGAGACTTTGGTCAAGGTAGAAATATCTTTTTTTTTTCCTGGTGGTAAAGATGATACATTTATCATAACAACTTTCAAATAATAAGAAATGGACACAGTAGACAAAGCAAGTGCACAAAATGCCACCATCCTTGTAGCTGACCAGACATGGACTTTGCCTCCTCTGTGTTTTTCTAGGTGGTTCTCCTTTTATCTGCTTCCAATCAGGATAACTGAGCTTCCTGGAAAGATCTTTGAAAAACTACTTCTCCCCTGCCCCCCACACCAGCGTCAGTCCCCTTCTGTGTTTGGCCTCAGGTGCCCCTCACCACCCTCTTGACATCCTCCCCCAGGGATGCTCCTTCTTATTGCCTTCTTTCTGCTCCCCTCAGGCTGTGTATAAGATGGCAGACGTAGCCTGCAAGTGCCACGGCGTCTCAGGGTCCTGCAGCCTCAAGACCTGCTGGCTCCAGCTGGCCGAGTTCCGCAAAGTAGGGGACCAGCTGAAGGAGAAGTATGACAGCGCAGCTGCCATGCGCATCACCCGCAAGGGCAAACTGGAGCTGGTCAACAGCCGCTTCAACCAGCCCACCCCTGAGGACTTAGTCTATGTGGACTCCAGCCCAGACTACTGTCTGCGCAATGAGACCACGGGCTCCCTGGGCACCCAGGGCCGCCTCTGCAACAAGACCTCGGAGGGCATGGATGGCTGCGAGCTCATGTGCTGTGGCCGTGGCTATGACCAGTTCAAGAGCGTCCAGGTGGAGCGCTGCCACTGCAAGTTCCACTGGTGCTGCTATGTCAAGTGCAGGAAGTGCACCGAGATCATCGACCAGTATGTCTGTAAATAGCCTGCAAAGGCCCCCTCTTCTGGCCTCTTCTCCACTCTGCCTCACAAAGTTTATATTATATAAATCTATATAAATCTATTATATATTTGTATAAAGAAATGGATGGATGATAAATAATTAAAAGAAGAAAATGGAAAGGAAAAGCTTATTTAAGAGATGCTGGAGATCTTTGAGGATTGAACTTTGCTGGTTCTCTACTCCCGGCAGATGGGGCAAGGGGCTTCTCCCCCTCCCTCTGCTGGGGACTCTCAGGATGTAGGGACTTGGGGATATTCACTGCCTACCCACTATGGCCTTAGGAAGACGAGTGGCGATTAGATGGAGAAGATGGTTTTGTCTGGATGTCTGGAGTCTTTGCTGGCTGGATGGCTGCCCTGTGACCCCCGTCATGAGGCCAGGAGGCCCTGTGCAAGGTGGCAGGAAGTCAGCTTACACCATCATGTCTTCAGGGTCTTGTCCAAAATACTGCTTGGTTCCGTAAAAGGGTCCAGTGCTTTCTTACCCTTTCACTCGGGTGCATCCCGGCAGAACCCAGAGTTACAGGAATGAGAAGAGGCCCGATGTCATCTCTGACAGGTGACCACAAAGGGACCTGCACCTCCCCAGACCCCCAGGCCTGTCTGTCCAGCGAGAATTATTCTCCCTCCACAGCTCACTGGCTCCTGCGGTCACCAGCTTCCTGCGCTGAGGAGCACAGGGGTCAATTAGCCTGACCTGTTAGGAGAGACACGAACTGAATTATTTGTGCCCGAGCTGCAGAGAGCCAGGAGAGTAACTGGTTCGAGTGCTGCACTGTGCTCCCACGGGGAGAGGAAACGGGATGCTGCTGTTGTCACTTCCTTCACCGTGCAGACCCCCCAAATGACAGGATGCGTGGCCTGGTCAGGCTTGGCTGGCCTGGCTCGCTCTTGTCATCTCTGCCCCAGATGTACAGTTTCTCTCTGACATTAAACCCCCTTCACTGGACTTCTCTCCCCTTCCTTCTTTGGACACACGAGTATCTTTCATGAGTCTCCTTTTATTTTTGATCTGATCCTCAGAACCTTGCTACCCAGTGTGCGTGTGGAAGAGGGTAAGGAAATGGAAACTTTTTAGAGCTCTAGTCTGGTGGCTGGAGACAGAGACAGAGGACTATGAGGATAAGGTAATGCACCGAAACACTCGCCCCCAGGGCCAACGCCAATTTGAATACTCATAAATGCTAGCTATTACTATTAGTATTATGAACAAAAGAATTCAGAGATTAAGGTTTAAGCCTCATGTTTCCCTTCCCTTCTTCCATCTTACAACTCACCCAGTCACCCCCTGGTCTGTTCACTGGGTCCTTGGGAAGGCACAGGTGATGGGGACACTCTGCTGGCTTCTCTATGTTGCCATCTCCAGTCTCAGACTCCAGGATCTGGAGCCAGGAGAGACAGGAGGGCAGAGCTCAGGGATGACCCAAAAGGGAGATGTTATATCCTAGAAAGGGAGGAAGTAGTTCCTGGGACACCTTGATCCAGGCGCATTAAAGTGGCCAGCCTGCAGGTGACCCAGTAAGTCACCCCACAGAGAGACACCAGTTTTATTCTAGAAAAGTCTACTTCTGGGGAAATGGTGGAATTAAGGAGTCAACTTGGGTTATAATGAGCAAATTATATTTCAAAACAGTCTAAAAGGGATTCTGTCTGGATTGGAATCATGCCATGTATACCACTTGTCTCTTTAGGGCCTAAAGAAGAGCCTTCTGATTTGTCATCAAAGGACATCAGACCTAGGGTTATTTCACCCTATTCCTCACGCTATTACTCAGATTCCTTTGGTTGACATTTTCAAGATGAATAGTCCACAAGAGAAAGTGATTGAAGCCTACTGGCCTACAAAAGATGCAAACCATGTCCTTGGCTTCATTAGTTGGCATTTAGCCAAACTAACTTGGTCACACAGATCGACGATAATAAGGGTTTTGAACACTGGCTGGCACTATTGCTCTTCCCTACATCACCCTTGTAACTCCTGGAGGATTACCTTATGTCAGGTGCTCAAAGTTCATATTGAGCTTTTTGGCCTGAAAAGCCAAAATCCAGTTCATCTTTAGCAACTTCAGGAAATTAGCTGTGAGGGACTGGTCCATAGAAAGCGACTTTCATGTTCATGAAAGGAGGTGCATCATCCCCATTATGTTGAGGTCTTCCTGCAGAGTCATGGCAAGGGAACTGAGGAAACCTTAAATGTTTTCTTTCTGACCTAAGGAGGAAGTCACGTGTTTGAATACCAGTGTAATTGTTGCAGCCACTGACAACCAAGGTTAGGAAAGATTTAATCTTCAAAATAGATTGGGGTGTAGTTATAGTTACAGACATGTTAAGTCCTGGTGGACTGGCAGTTGTCTATGATGTAACCAGGAATGCTGTAGGAATGTGGCTGGAAAATATGAAGACCAACCTAAGAAAACGAACCTCTGCTTGGAAACATGTTAGAGCAGGGACAGAATGTGCGGTCAGATCTCCTGCTCCTGGGTTTCCAGAGAAGGGCCTCCAAATCTTGAGCAAGTCCCAAACGTCAGTGTGCTGTAAAAAATACACAGTCCTAGGCCTCCTGCATCAGAGATTTTTATTCAGTTGGTCTGGGGGGAGCGGGACAGCTGTCTGAATCTTTAACAAGGCCTCAAGGGGACCCTGTGCTGGTGGTCGTCCTGAGACCGCACTGGACCCAGCGTCAGGATGAGCTAGCCCATGATCCACAGGGCGACCCTGTGCAGGATTTTCCAGTACCTGAAATTTATTATGATTAACACATGGTCTAACTGAAGGATCATTGCACAGAATGTAATGCCTGGACCAAGAAATCCTAGCCATCCAGGGGATCCTTTCTATCAAGAGGGGAGAGAACATTCTGGCACAGAGCAGAATGTGTTTGCCCTGGGTGTTCTACCTCCCTCCTGTACCTGGGACAGATCTATTACAAATGTGGTAACGTAATACTCGCTTGGCTCTTTGTTTGCATATATTCATCTTGCCTTCAAGACAAAATCAGGAGAAAGGTATGTCTGACTGCCTCCATTTAAAAGTAGACAGGAGGGTAGGAAGGCAGTCACAGCTAGGATTAAGGTGAGACCAGGCTCCTGTTCATAAAGGCATCCTGATGAGTCTTTCAAGAGCTTGGGTTCAAAACCCTTACTGGTCGTCTGCTCTCTGCCCTTTGAGGTGGGAAACAAAACTTATTAAACTGCGTTTATTCTGCCTGGCTTGCTGCCTCACTCTGGCTTTGTCATCCACGGGAGTTCTAGGGGCTAGCAAGACATCTATGGTTGAGATGGCTCTGCGACATACAGCTCTCCCAGCTGCAGTAGTTTATCAGAGAAGACACCTACGTCTTGGGCAGAGAGCTACACAGTCCCAAGAAGGTGGAGGAAAGTAGTCATTTCCATCTTAAAACAGGCTCTGACGCATGGCCAGATCCCACTGGCACTGGTCACTTGTGTCTCAGGAGAACTTTAGTGTGTGCCTGCATGTCTGTGGGTGGGTGTGGGGGGTGTGCACACATGCCAGGCACACCCATGCATGTAGGAATGGGTGTTTTTCATTAAGTTTGGAGGGGCCATGGGGAGGCACTTAAGGTAAGGAAGCTATAAAAAAAAAAGGTAAAAATCACTGTCACCACTCTGGTTGAGCTGCTGCAGAATGCGGATTGTTCTGTCTTTACTGGAAGTCCTTGCTGATGATTGACTAGTGATGACAAGCTTCCTATCTCTGGAAGGAATGTTGAGAAGGGCTCACTGCTCTTGCTTGCTAAATATTCCTGTTAGTCCTTTATTATTCAAGAATCCCTGCCCTGTATTTATACCAAAACAATAAGTAAAGGAAGCTTTAATCCCTGGTTTTATGTAAGATCTGTGGGTAGTTTGCCCCTAAGTAGGAAGCTTCTCCATAGATTTGAGTGTCAGACATTAGGCAACCCAAAGACTGAGCTCTCACACAGCTAATTTTCTAGATTGTTTGAGAGTTTGGGCATTCGTCCTGTAGATTATCTACATTCTTTGCTTTTCCCTCCTGCTGTCTGCCTTTTGGTCTTCAATCTGTTCATTTGCAGCTCTACCAGAGGCTGCACCAAAATCTGTTCACTCGGGCCTCCTAAGTAGTTTTTGATAAATAACTGAGTGGGAAAAGGAGTGGCTAAAATTAGATTTTAAAACTATCTGTGAATTTAGCGTGTCACTTGTGTGGATTACCTACCGCTCCCCTGATAACTGAGAATAGACAGAAGCTGTCCACAGCCACAGCAGGTAGGAAACCACAGTATCTGTCAGGACAGAGTTTGCCTAGGTGTGGGGCCTGTCAGTAACGCATCCCCTGTCAGGGACCCAAGATGCAGAGGAAAAGACACTATAGGAAGGGTGAACTTTTTTTCTTAAAGATTTATTTATTTATCTTCTACCTTAGAGAGAGAGAGCGAGTGCGCACAAGTGGGAGGAAGGGCAGAGAGAGAGAGCGCATGCGAGGAAGCAGACTCCCCACTGAGCAGGGAGCCCCCACGTGGTGCTCGATCCCAAGACCCTGAGATCACAACCCAGAGCAGAAACGCAGCCAACTGACCCACCCAGAGGCCCCAGGGTAAACCTTTTTAACCCAGTTTTATCATAAAGCCCAAAGGAATGGGTATTGTTTTAAGTGGCCCTGGCCCTCCAGGACGTGTTCTCAGACCTGGGGCTTGTGCTCTATGTGTTGGGTCAACCAGCCCTTCTGCTGGCATTCGATTTGAAGTTTATGTCCTCCTCTCACATACTTACATCATTTCCAGAGATTGTTTTAGTAGAAAATAAGTTTCCTAAAGGATTTTTTAAAAATCTCTTTTGTGGGGATCAAAAGCATCTGCCTTTGTCTCAGGTCATGATCCCAGGGTCCTGAGATGAGCCCCTCATCAGGCTCCCTGCTCAGTGGGAAGTCTGCTTCTCCCTCTCCCTCTGCTGCTCCCCCTGCTTGTGCTCTCTTTCTCTTTAATAAGTAAATAAATCTTTTTTAAAAAAAGAAAATCTCCTTTGTTTCCAGCTGTGTCTCCTAGAACTTTAAAAAGTACCTAGCACAGAGAAAGTGTTTAATAAATACTTGCTGCATGGATCAGTGAAAGATGATTTTTACTGAACAGATGAGGAAACTGAGGAGGAGATTAATTGCCTGGGCCACTGTGTAGTTTCTTCTCTCAAAGTTGGAAGCCACAGAAATCAACTTGAATCAGCTTAAAGGGAAGGACGTTGTATAAGGGTTCAAGAGAGATTCCAGTGTCTCTGGGAGCTGAAAGCAGACACCTCTGGCTTGCTCTCCCTCTTCCTCCCTCTTCTTGGTGGGTCCTCTTTCCTTGTGCCTCAGCAGATCAACTTCCTCTGCTCCTCATGGTGGGAAACGTGGCAGCCAAAAGCATCTGAGTTAACAGGCTCCAGCTGCAGCCATGGTTAATGACTCCCGAATCTCTCCAGACGCCTATGCCAAATTCCCTGGGGCAGAGGCTCCTGGGCTGGGGCCCTCTCAACCATTCTGTGACCTCACAGTGGTTCAAGTCAGTGAAGTGGAAGGATTTAAGAATTCATTGAAGCAAGAGAAGTTACTCTGTCCTCATTGATTTTTCTGCTGATGGTTAGATCAGACAATATGTAATCGAGCTTGTTGCTGTGCATGGAAATGCCCAAGTGTTTGCCCTGGAAATGTTCATGAAGAGTCTTTTATCTGTAGAAATGCAGAATTATTGGGCAAGTCCTAAAACTCTTCTCAAAGAGGTAAACACATGAGCCCAGCGGTGTGAAGACTTCTGGGAGGAGCTGGATAGCTCCCTGATATGTCTGATGGAGTTGAGGGAGTGAAGTTGGTTTTTTTTTTTGTTTTTGTTTTTAAAGGTTTTATTTATTTATTCATAGAGATGCAGAGAGAGAGAGATTGGCAGAGACACAGGCAGAGGGAGAAGCAGGCTCCTTGCAGGGAGCCTGATGTGGGACT